TATTGTGGACTCTTGATTCCTCTTGTGTCTAGCTTCTTGCTGGATCGTTTTGTTTAATTTTATTGGTTGGCTTGGTGAGGGTGATGGCCATGCCGAAGCTCTCCTCCTTGTCCTTCCTTTTTTGCCTTTCAAAAAAAAAAAAGAAATGAAAGCAAATTTTGAGAAGATTTTGCTTTTGGTTTTTCATTTAAGAAATTTTGCGAATCTGAAGTAGTTGTCTAATATATATGGCTTCACCGGTCCACCACCACCTACCAACTATCCGGCAACCCATCACGGTGGTCGATGGTGTTGACGTAGCATGATGAGTTCAGAAGTTTCGATTTTGAGTTAAACTTAAATGCAACTTAAAATATTTTTCTCAACTTTCGTGTTAGAATCACATATGTTCTCAACAAAGCCATCGCAGTCTCCTGCTCCTCGCCATCTTCTCCAACTTCTTCAACTGTCAATCAGCAATCAGTCTTTGAAACTGACCCACCAATCCCATGCTCGAGTTTGCCACTTGGGTCTCCAGCAACACCCTGTTGTCTTAACAAATCTCATCAATGCCTACGCTCTTACCGAGAACACTGTACAATCTCGAAAGCTTTTCGACTCCATTGAAGTCAAGGATGTTGGTTTATGGAACACGTACATCAATGGATTCGTAAAAAATGATCTTCATCCCGAAAGTTTTAGCATTTTTAACAATATGTGCCGAACCGCTAATTCTCTCCCTGATGGCTTCACATTTTCGACTCTGGCTAAAGCTTCCGGCGTGATTGGAGACTTGCTCGCCGGAAAATGTGTTCACGGAAAGACTATAAAACTTGGGTTTTTGTCAGATACTATATTAACCAATTCCTTGATGTCAATGTATAACAAATGTGATAGAATTCAAGACTCTCGTAAACTGTTTGACGAAATGCCCCAAAGAACTATTTCTTCGTGGAACATAATCTTGTCGGGATATGTCAGTGGTGAAAACCCCTTTCTAGAGTATCAAGTTTGGAAAATTTTAAAGTACATGTTAACAGAAGGATTGAAGCCTAATGAATTCACATTATCCAGTCTGCTTCCAATGTGCGGATTCAGATTGGGGAGATTCGATCATGGAAGGGAACTTCATTGTTACATCATCAGAAATGAACTTAACCTTGATATCTATTCGGGTGTTCACTTAAACTGCTCTTTGATAGATATGTATTCAAGATGTAGAAAAGTAAGTTTGGCTCGACTGATCTTTGATCAGATGAGGTTTAAAAATGTCTTCACATGGACAGCAATGATGAATGGTTATCTACAAATTGGGGATGGAAATGAAGTTGTGCTTCTATTTTGTGAAATGCAGAGAAGGGGCGACGTAGAACCTAACGAGGTTTCCCTTCTAACACTTCTTCCTGCTGGAAACTTAGTTGCAGGTTTGTTAGGAGTAATGCAGATTCATGGGTATTGTGCCAAAAAGAGTTTTATCAATCACACTTCTTTCTGCAACTGTCTAATAGATATGTACTCTAAGAACGGTCTTTTGAGCCATGCAAGGGAAGTCTTTGACCACGATTGTCTTGCAAAAGATGCAATCTCTTGGGGTTCAATGATCTCAGGGTACGGATTACATGGGAAAGGTCAAGAAGCAGTTGATTTGTATGATAAAATGCTCGCAAATGGAATCAAGTCAGATGCAATTCATGTTGTTGGAGTTCTTTCTGCCTGTAGCAGATCAGGTTTGGTAGAAAAAGGTCTTGATGTTTATAGAAAAGCAACAAGTATTTCTGGGTTCGAACCAACAATGGAGATGTATTCTTGTGTGGTTGACATTTTGGGCCGATCAGGTCAGCTTGATGAAGCTTTGAGTTTCATCAAGACTCTTCCTTTAGAACCTGGACCTAGTGTCTGGGGAGCGTTTGTGAGTGCTTCTGTGCTTCACACAAACTATGAAACAGGAGTTTTGGCTTACAAAGCGCTTATCCAGATCGAACCTGAAAATCCCTCTAATTATGTCTCTCTTTCTAATCTTCATGCAACTTCTAGGAAGTGGGATTCTGTGGCTGAAGTGCGAAGAACGATGAAAGAAAGAAGCTTGAGGAAGTTTCCTGGTTGCAGTTGGATTACCATCAACAGCGAGACTCATAGTTTCTCTGCTTCTGATAAAGGGCATCCTGATTCCGGTAAGATATATGAAATCTTGAATGAACTGATTCTAGCGATGAAGAAACCCTGATCTGGAGATATTGATTTGTTAGATAACCGGGATGACCAGCTAAGGATGGATATGACAGTTTTAGACATTTCTGATGACATGATCTCTGATAGGAGTTTTTAGAGGCACATGACTAGAGTGACTGATCTTTTAGTAGGATCCGGTAGAGGGTGACAAACAAGGGATGTACTGGGTTCGTTTGGTTTGGTTTGTATGTGGATATATCCTCTTATATATACCATGCAACAAATTTGAATCTGATGGAATTCATATGTGAATAAAAAAATTCAACATTATTTTACATGTATGCTTACTGTAAACAAGTTAATCCTGAAATCCTAGCCTAACTTCAGTTATCACTCTTCAGCAAATTCTTCCAGCCTCCAGTTATAATCCTTTATTGCCACCATAATCCTCTGTGCTACAAGTGTTATTTCTAAAGATTTTCTTGATTCATATAGTTTTATCTCTGAGCCTCGGATTCTCGTTCTCTTCGATACACAAAAACCATATTGAACACCACTCTTCCAACCCTTCTGGTCTTTCTCCTCCTTTTACTCAAACCTGTCTTCTTTTCCTTCTCATCTGCAGGTTGTGAAGTGGGTACATTCTGAATCCAAAATACTGGCACTAATGCTGCTAAAAACTGTATCATGATTCCCAAAGGAAGGTTGGAGTAATCAGCTGATGTTATTCCAAGAAAAGACGCCATTCCGACCCCCAAAAATCCACTACAAATTGACGATAAACACAGGGCCGAGGCCAAGAAAGACATGAGCGATCCTTCGCAGCCTGCAGGGGCTAAACTTGCGAAAAGGACTTGAAAAGGCAGGAGCTTGAACTGTGCAATCATTTCTGCCACACCCGAAATGCAAACAGCAAAGATGTGGTTCGGGATTCCGAATTTCAGATTGATTTGCTTCACAAGAACAAGATCAAGAAGCAGGGAAGACGCGTATAGTATTTGTACAGTTCCAATCAGTTTCCTCATTGAGATGGTTTTCCAGCAGCGATCATAGACAACAGCTACAGTTAACAGCAGTAATTGACCCATAACTTTCGACATTCCAATAATAGAAGGATCAAGATTCAGACACTGTGTTTGGTAACAAAATATAGAACCAGATAAGATTGGAACCATAGCAATTGAAGCAACAACCCAAGAAAGTGACCGGAAGATACCATCATCCCTGATCGCGATCATTAGATCAGAAGATTGTTTCTTAATATTCAATATGATCGATTCATGATGATTTGAAGAATGAGGCAAACCGAAAGATTCTTCTCTTGTTTTCAGAGATAACACCAGTTGGAAAGACATCAAAGATGCAAAGATCAAGAACATGGATTTCGGTTTATGTGTTCTTAAAAGGAAAAATCCACCTAGAAAATTGCCTAAAACTCCACCAGCAGCTAAGGCCATGAAAGCATAAGATTGAAGACCATTAATCTTGTTCTTTTGACCATATTCAGCAACAAGGGCATCCTTAGCAACTTCTGTAATGGATGCTCCAAGATTACTGAGAAGAACACATGCCATTAGAATGGGTAGAGCTTGACTAGCCATTGGGCTCAATGCCATAGAACCCCAAGAAATCCCCTGCAGCAAAACTGAAAATATTGATATCAATCCCTTTAAATCTACGGGTAATTCTCGTTTTTCATCTTACCCATATAAAGACAGGTGAAAATTAGCATCAATGTGATTGAAATATTGATAGAAGAGGAGCTAAGCTAACCTCCAATGGAAATGTAGGGCAACCTATGGGATCCACCAATGAAGAGAGCATCTGACAAGATTCCATAAAAGGGTTTTGCAACCATTGGAAGATTAGCAAAATTCTGCACTAGCTGCAATGTTGAAGGATTGAGATTCAAATTGTTGGCCATATGGAAATTTAGGGCTAGCCATGGAAAACATCTAAATCCTTGCACCCAATACCCAAACCCACAAAGATTCAACAAATTCTGAATCCCATTAAGATTCCTATCTTGTTTTTCAGTTTCTTTTTTCTTGATGTTATTGAGATAGAAAACCACAGGATCAACCATATCGGTTCTGGGATTCCTGCAGTTTGGGGTTTTCAAGATTTTCTTGGGTTGTCTTTGTTGGAGAGGAAAAGAAGAGAAATGGATGGGTGTTTTGAGGTTGAAGAAAGATGGTATTTTTGTGGGATTAGTGAAAGATGGATTGGATGGAAATGATGGGTTGGGGTTGGAAAGTGATGATAGAGCCATGGATGGTGTGGTTATGGACTCTCTGATGGTTTCTGGTTTTCCGAGGTTGAAGAAGAAGAAGAAGAAGAAGAAGAAGAAGAAGAAGAAAGAAGATGATGTTGGCGGATTAGAAGAGATTGGGTGGAGAAAAATATAGAGAGTAGAGAGGCGCCAAGAAGGAGGACCCTTCCAGAGATGGGAGAAATGATAAGACCTGTGTTTTATGAAAAAATTTCTGAAAATAGGAGAGATACAGAATGAGGTTTTGTTTTGTTTTGTTTTGGGAGAGATCCTGAATGGGCCCAGTGAAATGGGGATCTCTGTCTCTGTCTCTCTCTCTTGACTTGACAGCTCAGTAGTCAAATTAGGGCTTTTTTAGGATCTGAATTCTAAAATATTGTATAAGGATACAATATTTAAACTCTTACTTTTTTTACATTTTTTTATGTATGACTTTCTAAAATTATAAGGGATACAAATAATATTATCCAGACTTGTTATTCGTTATAAATATAAAAAAACATTCATGATAAATAATAGATCCATATTTCTAATAAATATGTCCTGTGTCGTATTATGAAAGATTCATGAGCTCCTAGAATCAGGATAAATTATTTAAAAAGGATATCTCGATATTGATGTGTATGAACATAATATTGATAAACAATAAATAGATGTGCATTTAGCTTAATCTTTTGAAGATTCCGTTAGGGGTACAAGTCTAAATGGAGCAATTCTTTTAATTTAGCTTGAATGTATTACGATTTTTCTTCATTCCTAACAATAATTTTTTATAATTATTGTAACATGTTTTTTATATATATTTAATACTTTGGCGAGTAGACTTGGGATCATGTGAGACAAGACTGTTTTCGTAAGACACGTGAAACACGATTTATACATTTGAAACTTCACAACAGAACACTGTGAATGTGACCTTCACATTGTTTTTGTTGTGAAGATTCGGGTTTTTTTTACCTTAACAACATTTTATTGTGAAGTTCCAAGTGTAAAAATCGTATCTCACATGAACCCAACCTTTAGCGAGTAACTAATAAATCTTGTAGCTCTCTTAAGCATATAAATATCAATTCATCTTATATTTAAATTCCATATTACATAGAGAAATGTTACATCAAAGTCAACGTTTTATCAGGTAAAACGGGTACAAAATAGAAAGGAATGAATGTGATAAGTGAACATTCGTTATGTTAACTGAGAAAAAGATTTACATCTTTTCATTAAATAAAAACTACGACAAACTTCATTAAATTTTAATGTAATTTATCTTCATAAATCATGGTACCAATGCTTCTAGTATTCAAGTTTGAGCATCATGTAACGTATGTTATATTACATAAATTTGGTTCAACAGGCAAATCGTTTTACAAAATCTACCATCTTTTTCATTGATTCGGCCAGAAACACAACCATGTAAATATCTGTTTAAATCAAAACCAAACGGACCCAGTATATCCCACACATATGTTTGCATACTGATCTATTTTCCTTCAGTGCTTGAACGATTCGACCAACCATTTTTTTAAGTTCGCCAAATTGGTGATCTTAAGAATCTTCATCATGTCAGGGCTGCTTCTACCGATAAAATCTTGAAAAAACGAGACCTGATGGGATCATAAACTCGAATCTCGTGTATAAATCTTTGGGATGTCGATAACGTGGTCAAGGCGTTAAGTCAAAATTGGTCTCCAAGAGCAAATGAAGTTGAGAAAGGGAGGATATCTTGTAATCTGGTTTATGTTCAACAGTGGCATATTCAGGAGAATCATACCTCCCTGTTTCATCAAGCAAACATGTGAATGCTCCAGCCCTTTTTCCACAAGCCACCTGAGACCACGGGTTTCGAATCATAAAAAAAGAACAAGCGAAATTCAAACGTAAGATAAAAACCGACACTTTTTGCAGTCATTTCACTTGTACCATTTCCTTAGAATTACTCCGTATTTGAATCATAATCCAAGTTTAAGTTAAAGCTATGTTTGACATAGTTGATAAACTCTCTTTTGGCAGAAAAACTAGTTGGTAGCCAGTAAGTCGGTCAAGTTTGGTAAAACTAGCCGATAAATGATAAGCTAGATTACAGAGTAAAATGACCTAAAAACACATGTTGAAATTTTAATTGGAATAATATAGGGAAACAATTGGAAAAAAAAAAACCTAGTGCTTGTTGAACTGCTACTTTCAATGAGCTAGCTTAGACAGGGACGGACCCTCTATGGAGCATATGGTGAGATGGGCCACTGCTATGCTCCTCCGTGGTAGTGTAAGAAAATGAAGGCCATGAAAGGTGCCACTGTATAATTTTGTTGGATGCAACTGTATATTCCTTGAAACTACAATAATAACTCAGTTCCTCTTGGTAGAGTTGGTTTGCATGGTTCTAGACACGGGTTCGGATCCCATTTGTGTCATTTTCTTAGATTTTAGCTTTTAATATCAGGTTTATTATGTTTCTGAAAAAATTGAGATTAAATACTCGAACACAAGACCTAAGATACAGAAAGCAAGGAACTAACCAATAGACTAATGATGATGTTTATCCATAGCTTCCTTTTTTATAGTCAAATGGTGCCACCACTTGAAAAAAATTCTAGGTCGGCTTCTAAGCTTAGGGCTAACCAAACCGGACTTTTCAATAAGCTAGCTTATCGTTGACCTAAGTGGTTGACTTTTCAGAAACTTGATTAATTTGCAACAAAAAACCAAGTAGGAATTTCTAAAAAAGTCCAAGCACTCGGTTCCAGATTTTATGAATCTTCGATATAGAAACTTGACTAGGTCCGAATATGGAATCCTAAAGTAGCTTTTTCGTATTAGTGACCACCACAAGAAAGCATGAATGTTAAACAGAAGTACTCGTGACTACTTTTTTTTTTTTGTAAGGGTGTCCGGGCCAAAGCCCGACTAATCCCCGGCAAATTTGGAGGCTAAACATGGCCCCACTTAAATGTCGCCAACACTCCCCTCCCAGGGCTCGAACTCGGGTTCATGACTATGCCATGCCCAAGCCTTCACCATTAGGCTGGAAGGTCTTTGACTACTCGTGACTACTTGAAAGCAAAAAAGGGTCAAAAGCAGTATTTAGAATGTGAATTACTTACATCGTCCTTCAGGCTATCCCCAATCATCATTACTTCATTAGGTTGAACTTCCCACGATGAACATATATGAAGCAGGGGAGCAGGGTCTGGTTTATAAGGTCGAAATTCTCTACTCAACGCTGGAGAAAATGACATCTGTAACAACATATATATACATATCATTATATGGTTTGATGAATCAAGGTATACTGATACTAGCAAGACAAAAGAAGAAAAGAAAAATATACCCTAAATCGTTCATGAAACAAATCAACGGCTGATTTAACATTACGAGTGATCAGTCCTCTTCTGCAAAATAAAGAACAGGTGATATCTATCATATGAGATCAAGAATTCTATTCGACTTAAATGCCTAAAAAGTTATAGTTCAAAACATCAAATTTATAAAGAATTCATGTAATCATGTGAGCAAATTGTGACCTGATATTTTTTGAGTCAAGATAACCACAAAGCTCTGCAGCACCTGCAGTTTCGTTCAAGTATATCGAGATAAGAATTTACCACTGAATGAAGTTCCAAGATTGCTAAATATTACTAATCAGAACACGTCAACAATGTACGTTTTGCATTTAACTAGAAAAGTATAGTACTTTTCGAATGAATAATCATGATTCAGATACAAATTTGGTACCCCCTCAATACCATGAAAATTGCAAGAATTCTTTTATAGATATATCGCGAAAAGTGCAACAATTTCCCTTTTGGGTCTACAAAATTCTCATATTTTGTCATCATTAAGGGTTCCCAAGAGCATTTTTATGAAAAATGTTAGTTGTTGGATGAAATTTGTGAATACATAGAGAAACAGAGAATGAAATAGCATGGATAAAACCGTGAGATCATGTAAGAGCTCGATTTTGTTAGGTTGTATTTCGACCCTAATTTGTCTGGATATGACAAAATGAACTCTAGGATAATCTTAGATTTTCAGTAACGATTTTGGCAGAAGTCATTTCTTTATACTCAGAGAATTGTATCTGTTCCTAAATCAATGCCAAGAATATCTCCCCATAAAATGCAAATGATTGCCAGAGTAATTGGTTGTTACCAAAACTGCACAGAGATCAAAAGACTTCAGAACTTCTGACTCTTCATAAGCCCTTCAGAATCAGAAGCTCTGACTCCTCTGAGTCGGAAGCTCTGAGTCCACACCACTTCAGATTCAGAAGCTTCCGAGTCAACACCACCACTTGGTGCATTACCCCTCGGACCCCACATGGGGGAGTGACCTCCTTGACCCCACACCCCACCATATGCACTATCCAGTGATCGGGTTCTAGTTATCTATACGATTGTGGACTCCATACCTCCAAGCCACATTAGCATCCATCTGAATCTTGAAGTTCGAACGCAACCACTTTACCATACAGAATGGAAACTGCAACCCTTTAATTGCGGTTGAGGGAATGAATCCCTCAAAGTCTGAAACACATTGCTTCATGGGTGAAGTATAAATTGACCAACAAACATGTTCATTAGTTGAACATAAGTAGCAACTATGGGAGCATTTTCATAGAGATTATGCAGAAATTCTACTTATAATCAAACTAATTAACATGATTTATACTACAAATCTCTATCAATTAAGCATAAACCCTAATGAGATTGTACGACATTACCAGGCATAATCTGGAGTCGATCGAGCCCTTGTTGCTCAAAATCCGCAATGATTTCGTAAGCTTTTTGTTGCTTATCAGGAGCCCATTGTTCAATATGATGCAAAATGTCGATCCCAGAAGGGGAATTTGATTTGATGGAAACGTATAGATCTTGGCCGAGGACGGCTTTATACATGGCCTGAAAATCAATGACGGGGACTGTTAGGGTTCCGTCCATGTCGAATACCACTCCCTTGAGGCGAGATTTGATGGGGTTAGAGCTCGATTGAACAGACATGGTGGTGGCGAAAGATTTGAAGAAAGCTCTGGATGGTTTTAGCATAAGCGTATCGCTTAGGAACTTGAGTGGCAACAAATTCAGCGGCGGCATTAAGGATAGGGTCATCAAACAGATCCTCGTATCTGATCATCTCGATTATAATTCGAATTTATTCGAATTCATAAATGTAACGAGTGTTTGAGATTGACTTAATGGTTTTTTTTTAATAAGTTTTTATGAAGTTATTATAAGTCTTATTATCGGTTTGGCACTGGTATAAATTGTTTATACAGATACTCAAAAGTGCTTATTATCGATGTCACACCAGAATAAGTCACTAAGTTGTTTTTATAAATGTTTAAAAACATTTTCAAAATAGAGAAAATGAAGTTTAATCTAATAGATTTTTGTGTTTGGGATTGCTTATAAAAATATTTTATTGATTTATTTTAGTGTATCATGTTAATAAGCACTTTTGAGTGTTTGAATAAACAACTTATACCGGTGTCAAACCGATAATAAAGAGTTTTTGAAGAAGATAAATCATTCTAACTTATAATAAGTTGATAAGAATTTTTATAGAAAAACATAAGTTGTTTTCCAACAACTATACTCTATTTTTATAATTCTATCAATAACTATATTATTAATATATTGAATATATTTAATAAAATATTATTTATCCCTCGTAAATAGGTCTAAGGAGGGGATGAGGCAGACTATCCTTGATCCCCAATGATATTGATTATGATCACATCTTTATCCTCGTCCTAAGTAAAATAAACTTAAGGGTGCGTTTGGTATGTAGATTACGTGGAACAGGTCGGGACAAAAAAAATAGTTCATGTTTGGCATGTCATGGACAAAAAAAAAACATAGGACAAAGTATGACTATTTTTAATTTTCAGGGGACAAATCTTGATATTTTTTGTTTAACCAAAAATGGTGAAACAACATGTGATTGAATTTAAAATGATTATATTACCCATTGTTATTTCGTTTCAATAGAAAACCTAATCCATCCATTTGTGTGCCGCTCGTCAACACCTCTTTATCATTTTTTTTGAATTTATATTTAATGCATTAAACTTGATTACAAAAAATATGTAATTAAAATATATTTTTGTTGATTTGTTGTCATTTTACAGTCATTATATTTAGGGGTAATATGATCATTTTAATCGTTTTGTCTTGTTCTGTCCTGGTCGTACCAAACATAAGACCGACAATTAGTCATGTCCCGTCCCATCCTAAAATTTTTAAAATAAATAAATTTATATTAGTATCAAATTAATCATTTAATAGTTCTTTTTTTTTGGTATAACGTCTTAATTTAATTTTTTATTATAATTTAATTCAGATTTAATAACAAAATAAATTATTTCCTGTTTAATAATTTATTTTTTATAAAGATAATAATTAAAATATTTTGTTAGAACTAAATGATTATCTTAATTATGTTTTCTATTTTTCTATATTTAAACTAAATGTTTATTCTGTATTTGATTATGTTTATCTGCAGTTAGTTACACGAATTTAAAAATGAAGTTTTAATAAGTTGTATTTATGCAAAATTATTTATAATCTTGAATTTTAAGTAGCATGCATCAATAAACAGTACTTCATGTATAAAAATTGGTTTTTAAGATTTTTTATCAAATACTTTATAAAATAGTAATAGATAAATAATACACTTCATATTTTTTATTAAATAGTCATATATATATATATATATATACAAGTACAGGGCGTGGAGTGTGATATCTTAAACTATATACCATATGAAGCAATCAATTAAGGAATTTATGGGAATTATCAAGATTCATGGGCTCTTTGTTACCTCTTAATAGTTCTATTAAGAGACAGTTTATGAATCATTAAGAGGTGAATTTTGTGTGACAAAAAAAAAATCTGTCTCTTAATGATTCTAAAACCCTCTAAATGATTTTGTATTTTGGACCTCCCTTAACCATTCAGCATTCTAATTGCAATGTAAACAATTATTGAACCATTCAGCATTCTAATCAATGGTTAAAATACAAAATGATTCATTAATTTCAAAAACGTTTATCTTATTTGACTTTTTATTTTCTTTTGTAATTAAGAAACTTTTACTCCCTTAATTTTTAAAATAAATTATCTAAAAGATAATTAATATTGTAATTAAACAAATTACATAAAAAAATGAGCAGTTCGTTTTATTCGATTTGACATCCATCTCGATAGGTTATCAATCGGTCTCGTTAGAATATGAAGGTGGTAGGTTATGATTTTACACATACAACCACACACCAAGTCAATAGATGGGGTATTGGTCGGTCTCGATTGGTCTCCATGGGTTCTCGATCGGTCGCCATGGTTCTTGATTAGTCTCTATGAATTACTGATTCGTCTTGATAAAAGTTGAATATGATAGCCTATGATTTTACATACACAAACAAATAATAAATCAAGCAGTAGGTTCTGAATGAAAAATGGAGGTGGTAGGTTATGGTTTTATACATATAAGCACACACCAAGTCAACAAATAGATTCTCGACTAGTCTCGATAGGCTCTCGATCGGTCTCGACGGGTGTTGTGTTACGTGATGAAAAACGTGGTGTCAGGTTACATACTTACGACGTTGAAGAAAGTGTTTAAGAAAGTGTCGAGTTGTTGTATACACCCAAACATACATGAATATTAATAATTTTTAAGACAATTTAATTTAAAAATAATGGGAATAAAAAAATTAAAGAAAATTAACATAGCTAATGTAACCATGATTGAACTTGACTCGTTTTTATCCATAATCATCTTAATTAATGAATTTAATTAAAAATATATTTAATATGAGTTATTGGATCATAAAATACTAAAATTTGTCTCTTGATTTACAATAAAAATTTATTTTTAATAACAAGCCTCATCGATAATTTTATGGTTTATTTTAAAAGAAATAAAAAAAATAGAGAGCTCAGTGAGGCCTGTAATATTATCCACGTGGCAGATAATGAACGATGGACCCGCCATCGAATAGGCTTAATCATCACAGCCCCCTTAATGCACCAGCCGGGAATCGAACCCGGGTCTGTACCGTGGCAGGGTACTATTCTACCACTAGACCACTGGTGCTTCTTGTTTCAGTTCTCTCATTTTTCATATATATTATGTATCAAATACAGATGTATCCCATTTAAAAAAAAAACAAAATTTTATATATATATATATATATATAAACACTATATTATAAATCATTTAAAAAATATTTTTTATGCATGAAATACTGTTTATTGATAAATATTACTTAAAATGTAATATTACAATAATTTTGCATAAATACAACTTATTAAAATTTTATTTTTAAATTCGTGTAGCTAATTACAGATAAACATAATCAAATACAAGATAAACATCTCATTTGAAATATAAAAATTCTAAAATATAGTTAGAATAATCATAGTTCTAACAAAATCATTTTCCTTATAAAATTTATTGTTAAACCAAAAATAAATTATTTCATTATTTGACCTAAATTAAATTATAATAAAAAATTGAATTAAAGAAATTGTATAAAAAAAACAAGAACTTTTAAATAATTTGATATTAATATTGATATATTTTTTCAAATTTTTTTGATATCTTCAAATGTATTTTTATTTAAAAGTAGATTATTATCTTTCTCAAAAACATATAAACTGTATTATATCAACATAGACAAAAAAATAAAATAAAACATTAAAATAAAGATGTATCTCATTAAATTGTACGAGTATCTTTTTTAGTATAATATGATAACATCACCTTAAAGAATATATTTATCAACCACAATACTCTATGTTAGCCTCTGTATTCTACTTTATTGTACCCCGATCCATAAGTATTATATCTTGACACTTTTATCCCTCCAACATTCAACACTTTATCACAACTACTCTCTACATAAATAGAAGATAAGTAAAAATAAAAGGACAATATCGACAAATATAAACCTTTCAATAATAAGATGTTATTTGTTTATCTGATACAACTTTTAAATCATTAAGAGGTGAATTTTGTTTGACAAAAAAATAGTATGTTTTTTAATAGTTATAAAACTCTTTGAATGAGTTTGTATCTTAGGTTTTTTTTTAACCATTAATCACTTTAATTTTTATTATGAATAATTACCAAACAATTATATTTTAAATTGTATCATATCATAAAGATTCTTTATTATTCTACACCAAACCATTCAAGAACTATCAATATCAAAACAAGTGATAAAAAGAAACAATCTTATTAGCGAATAAATGGTGGAGACTATTGAGCTCATTGAGTTGAGATCAAAGAAAACTATCTTCTTAAAACATATTTTTCCAATGTTTAAATGCTTGAAGGTTGAGCATAGAAACTTAAATATCCATTATTCTTAAAAAAGGCAAGCATTCGAAACCCCATCCACTTTGGTGGGAGTCAAATGGAAGTGATTGGTGGCTCCTCCTCCGTCTCCCTCCTCATCTCTTCCCGCTACAATCTCTGCTTCACTTCCAAGGTCTGCTCCTCCTAGACTCCGTTTTAGTTTCAATTTTCAGAATTTTCTTGAAATTAAGTATAAAAATGTTTAATTTCTTCTTCAATTTACTGCCATATTGAACATATGAACTTGACCTAGATTGCATTGTTGCATTTCTATATTTGACAATCGATCTATTGTGTGATTTAATTGTTAATCGCTAGCATTTAATATAAATCCTTAGTTATTACTGGAGCATACTTTGTGTATGAATCGAGTAAGCAGAATTGGTAAAATGATCATGGAATGGTGGTTGAGATTATACTGTGTTTACATTTTTGGTTGCATTTTTTTTTATGTATAGGTGCTTCCATGGAACTCTTTACTTGTTAGCCCTGTAAAAGCTCGGTTGTGCAATTCATTATCGTGCGTAAGCGTAAATGCTAGTGATAGATTGGCAGCTTTCAACTCTAAAAGGGTTCATGAGGATAGGAGTTTCCTTAGGTTGGTAAGAAGGTTCAACAAGAGATTTGCTTTTGAACATCTTGTGCATTTTAGGAGGAAAGGACGATTATTATCTAAAGTAAGGAAGCATACCATCAGCCTTTGGAAACTAGCAGAGAGTTCTGAGAAATTTAAAAATTTGTTCCCGGTTCTTGTTGTGCCGATTGTATTGGGAATGATGCTGTTTATGACCATGACTATTCCTGTTAGCAGATCTCCTTCCTGTAAGTTTTGATTTTTAAGTTTGCAGCCTGTACCTTGCTTCAACAAAGGTCAATCTTCTGCAGTTCTACTTCATTCTGAGGGATTATATGCAGGGGCACTCACTGAGGAGAATCTGCTGTTCCTCGAGGCATGGAGAACAATTGACCGTGCATATGTTGACAAGAGTTTCAATGGACAAAGTTGGTTTAGGTACAGAGAAAATGCACTACGCAATGAACCAATGAACAATCGTCAACAAACATGTATGCTTTTACAATTTCTTGATCTCAACCTTTTTCACTGTTGATCTTGTGTTTGTACCTCCCATTTTTCTATTTTTCCTTTTTTTGTATTTGGCATTCTCTTCGTCAGTTTTTATGATAATAACATTCATTGTAAATATATTAATAATAATAATAAGTTGCTAGCTTCATAGGTCTTCGTTCATATAAGCGAGTGTTTCTATATTGCTGAGCTGTGAAATTGTGTAAACTTGGTGCAATTTTGCATTCAGATGCAGCAATAAAGAAGATGCTTGGCACCCTGGATGACCCTTTCACTCGTTTTTTGGAGCCTGAGAAGTTCAAGAGTTTGAGGGTATGGAGCTGACCTTATTTCTATGCAGCGTTTATTTTCTGTATCAAATTCTATCGGTTTTTCTTTTTACACATGCAAATATGTTCTTTGAAGGCAGTCAGGAACACAAGGTGCTCTTACTGGAGTAGGGTTGTCAATTGGCTACCCAACTGGAAATGATGGAGCTCTGTCTGGACTGATGGTTATTTCAGCTTCTCCAGGGGGCCCTGCGAGTAGGGCTGCCATTTCCCCAGGTGATCTAATTCTGGCTATCGATGATGCTAGTACGGAAACAATGGACATTTATGATGCAGCCGAGCGCTTGCAGTAAGCTATCTCTACTATAGTATTGGTTTGCATTCTTTTTCTGCCATTGCCTTGTATCAAAAAAAGGAGTAAAGGACATGCTCATACTGTTATATTGGCAGGATTTTTACGTGCATGTAATCATGCAGACTCAATGAAAAAATTCCACCTCTTCTTTTTGTGGATTATGTTTGTTGCCAGATGAATTCTCTTACCTATATTTTTTGTTAAAGTTGGAGATGTGTGCACACATTTGCCAGATTTTTCATGGGAAAACTCTTTGGTTGGTCTTGGAAAACTGTTTGCTGTTTCCAGGTTCCTTCATCTATTTGTTGGTTAGACTAGGGGAATATTTAAAAAAAAACTAGAATGGTTTCTACTAGAAGTAGACATTTTATTAGTGATTAGTAAAACCTTCCTCAAACCCTCTCCAACTTTGTGCCAACTCCTGGACATTTAACTAGTTTATGGAATGTGCAATTCACCTTAATTATCGTTCAATCCCTTTCCTTACCTTTGATAAACCTGTGACGTAATTTGAATTTAGAATTTCGATGCTTTAAAATGTCTGAACATTAACAGCCTATATTCATCTTTGGTTCCCTAAGTGTGTGCACATGTGCTACTGCCTCACAAAGTTGACTATGGACTAATACCTTTTTGCTCTAGAAATAGTGTTAGGAAGCATTGAGTCATACAATTGGGAAATGCTATGCAGCTCATTTTTTATTTTTTTACTGATTGATAATGCTTTGATCATACTTACTGAAGATGGAGAAACAGATGTTGTCATGAGACTATATTTCTCGTAATTTGTTGGGGCCGATTTGTTAGTCAATGCTGTACTTTAATCTTACAGTTAACTTTAGACATCTAATTGACTTGCAGGGGCCCCGAAGGAAGTGAAGTACAGCTAAAATTACGAAGTGGACCTGAGATAAAAAATCTCTCATTAACGTACGTTCATTTGCTTCCTTCCATTTAAATAAATTAGAAGGTTTGTATGTTTGTATAGTTTGTGCCAACTCTAAGAACAGTGCTTCACAGTATTAATATGGGTTCCGTATTGTAAGTTCTGGACATTATAACTATCACCGTTCACTTTGTACTCAAGTGAAAAAGTTGTTTGGCGAATCATGTTGTTAATTTGTTATTTAGCTTCTACAGTCTCTAAATAGATTTTGCGATTAAATCATGTGTTTTGCAGGCGGGAAAACATTTCATTAAATCCGGTGACATCAAGAGTATGTGTGACACCTGGTTTGGGGAAGGGTGTCTCCAAGATTGGATACATCAAGTTAACATCATTCAACCAAAATGCTTCTGGTATAGTACCACTTACTGCTATTAATCGAGGTTGATGGAGCTAGATGTTTTTGCACATATTTCATATGGCTCTTCATGTAATTCTTTTACTATACTCCTTTTTAGACCATTTTGGGGAAAATGCACATAGAAAGACAAGATAATGCATGTTTTCTCAATTCTACAACCCCTTAGTTGTATTTGAGTCATAACTCAAAGGAAGAGGCTAATGTCGATATACTCACTTGTACTGGTAAAAAGTATGAATATGATCCGTGTGAAGGTTTAGGCACTGAACAAGATTCTTAATCTTTCTATTTTTCTTTTTTTATGGAAATTTACAATTTGTAAGTTGTAGGCCTTAATTGTATGGCATCCTAATGCCCTTCACGAAATCTGAAAATAAAATAGATGTGAATATTATTCCATCTTGAAAAAGTGAGAATGCTTCTAACAAACTAGTCTTGCAGGAGCTGTCAAGGAAGCAATCGAGACTTTAAGGAGAGACAATGTTGACGCGTTTGTCTTGGACCTTCGTAATAATAGGTGATATTCTTGCAACAATCACATGTTTCCGGCTTCCTTTTTGGACCCTCTTTTTGGAATGCTTCTAAAAGATGGTTTAATTAAATTCTGATGCAGCGGTGGTCTTTTTCCTGAAGGAATTGAGATTGCCAGGATTTGGTAAGTCTACAGTAGGATTTATGCAAAATGTATAATCCATTATTGAACCTTTTTGCTGGCTTTTAAGATGGTAAAAATCTGCATTTTCTGTTTGAAACCGAGGTTTATTCAATGCGTTCAACCTTTTGATTTATCTTGTATTAATATTTAGCTTCTCATGGAATTAGATTGCATATTAATTTTCTAAAAATGCTAAGGGGCCGTTTACTAAACGCTTACCCGGTAAGTACTTACCGGGTAATTTTTCTCACCGGATGAACATGGCAAGGGCCAAGAATCTTACCCGGTAAGAGCGATGATAAGGATGGAGAGTCTTACCCGGTAAGTGRCGGTGACGACTCTTACCCGGGTAAGCGCTTACCAGGTAAATTGTTGTATATGATACGTTTTAATACTACAATCTTACCCAATAAAATAAATTATAGTGTTGACTCCTAACGTTAAACATTTAGGTAAACGGCCCCTAAATGATGTTTGGTGCTGGAATTTTTGCTTTAGCTCTGAACTTTTGTCATATAACTGCAAAGCTCTCACAGTAAAGCCAATTCAAACCAGGTTGGACAAAGGTGTGATCGTGTACATCTGCGATAGTCGTGGAGTCCGAGATATATACGACAGTGATGGAACCCATGCAATAGCAGCTTCAGAGCCTCTAGCCGTGCTGGTAAGGCCAACAATGTCATCTCTTATGTCAACTTTAGAGATCCTTTAAAACTGAAGTATTCATGTATAAATGTCGGTAAAGCTACATAGAGTGATATATTGTCAGGAAGATCGAATCTTTAGCTGCCTCTACCCCAAGGGGTAGAGAGGCTATTTCCGTGTAGACGCTCGGCTTGCAAAACGAAAATTAAAAGAAATAAACAAGCAGGCTACATGTGAGAGTGTGTGCAAAGAAGCAACGAGTAAAATTAACGGAAAATACATCAAGGACAGAAGTATGGGAAGAATGACTAATGTAACCAAAGGAAAACACTTAGCACAATGCATACGAACAAGGAAAACACATAGCACAATGCAAACGAACAAGGAAAACACATAGTGCAATGCCGACAAGTATTAGTACAGGAAGAATGACTAATGTAACCAAAGGGTCTTTGGCCAAGTGGTACCGGATTACTGGTAGAGCCCAACCTCTCAGGAGGTCAAGGGTTCAAACCCCACTAAAGATGAGGAGTGTGCATGAGTATTTGCCATATATAAATATTATATACTTCAAAAAAGAATAACACATGTAAAGTGTGATAAAAACATCCATGTAGATCTTGTACAACGGAGGCTAGACATGCACAGATTGTCCTAGAGTGTTGAGAGGGGCTAGACGAGAACAAATTGTCCTAGAGCGTCGTGTCCATAGACCTTGGCTCTGATACCATGTGAGAATTTGTGGAACTCAATTAGATTACTCTTGAAAAGCATCCATGTAGATCTTGTAGTTCGGAGGCTAGACGGGCACACAGAATATCCTAGAGTGTTGAGAGGGCCTAGATGAGTACAAATTGTCACAAAGCATCGAGTCCTTAGACCTTTGCTCTGATACCATGTGAGAATTTGTGGAACCCCATTAGATTACTCTAAAAAAGTGCCCTTGAGGAGAGAAAGGAGGTTCGAACATGTATAGAGAAGAAATGGTCAAATGCGGGACTCTAACAAGAGGGATCTTTTTTGTTCTTTTAGGTGAATAAGGGAACTGCAAGTGCAAGTGAGATCTTAGCGGGTGCATTGAAGGATAACAAGAGGGCAGTGCTTCTTGGAGAACCCACTTTCGGCAAAGGGTATCATTTTTGCATAACGCTCTACAACATAAAATCCTTGATAATAACGTCTTAATATAACATATTCTTTATTTGCAGAAAAATCCAATCGGTTTTTGAACTGTCTGATGGGTCTGGCTTGGCTGTTACTGTTGCTCGTTATGAGACCCCTGATCATATCGACATCGATAAGGTTCTCTCTCGTTTTCTTTCTCTATACACATAAACAATGGGTTTCTAGGTTCTTGACCGCTTTATATGTCACCATTTAGGTTGGCATAATTCCTGATCATCCATTGCCAGCATCATTTCCGAAGGTCGATGATGGTTTTTGTGGCTGCATCGGGGACCCTGCTTCTGGTTGTTTTCTAAACAGAGTTGGATTATTTTCGAGATGATACCATTGTATATCATACACTTGATTTTAACGTTTGTTCGACTATTGGTTATTCGTTCAAAAAGACCATGACCAACATTTGTATAGTTTTGAAGGAAATATGGAAGAAAATGAAGTGAAGCTCTTGTGGTACATTGCCATTGCTAACTAAACTTGCTTCATGGCTATGTGTTGTTGGTCGGGTGCGTTTGCACGCGATGGACGTGACATAACAAATTATTGTTGTTCCACTTTTGGTACGGCATTTAGACTGGGATAGGATAAGACTGAGTGGAAAATAGCTGGAACAAAGCACAATGGTTATAAAACAAAATTGGTAAACTGACAACTTATGTCAAGTTAAAACCCTGTACAATTATTTCACCTGTTTACCTTAACCTTGTCCAGTGTTGTCTAGTAAATCCAAGACAATTGATCAAGTAAAACTTGTCAACCAAGAATACACAATTGGAGCTCCCTATTATGCTGTATATGAAACATTTTATCAATTTTAGTATTCTATTAATATATACAGTTTGATTCAGTTGAAATAATATGTTTTTCTCAGTTACAAATTGGTAATATAACTGTATGTTTCAGTTTTATGACCTTTGAACGCCCGATTATTCGAAAAAACTCCCGAACTTTCGAAACCAACCAAATTATTCGGCTTAATTAGTTTGAGCCACATTATGCACACCCCTAACCCTAAGGGACTATTTGTGGAATATATTAGAACTTGAGGGACCAAAAAGTCCATAAAAAATAACAAGGGACTATTTTGTGAAATATACCGCCGGTTTATAAACAAATATAAAGCGACCAATTGAATTGCACATCTGTATTGGCGATATCAAAGACGAGAACGTTCTAGACAGACAAAATGAAGCCAATGCCGGTGGAATTGTTCGGAGAGATGGAAGAGCAAGCATCGACTGTCGCCATGGACGTCGATGACGTTGAAGCACTCGATATTTTCGGAGAAGGTCCTCTCGCTGCCATGGATCATCACCGTTTGACTGATTCCGATTTCTTCAATTCCTTCGAAGACGATTTCGATGACGCCGACATCAATTGATGCTCTTATGGTGATTTTTTTTTTTGTGTATTTCTGATTTCTCTGCCCTAAGCTTTATTTTGTGCATGTATCTTGTAGTACGCGTTAGCTCCTTAATCGGATTGATATTCAAGTAATGTTCGCGGTAATCAAAACGTGTGTTTCCGTGTGTTTGAATTCTTGTGCGTTTTATCGCTTCTTGCTGGTGTTCGAATACGTTAGGGATCTGGATTTTGTGCGTATTTGTGGATTTAGTATATACAGACTAATTCTGTTTCATTCGTTTACTGGTACTCCCTTAGGGTTTCTATTTTTCTATGAGAAAACAGGTAGAAGTTGATTACTCTAATGAATGTTGTATGAGCTATTTTATTTTTTGGCTTTTGTATCATTGTTTTTGGTGTGGTTGATTAGTATGATGTAGGGAAGTGTGAGTTCGGGCTTGTTTTGAGGTAATTGAAATTGATGTATCAAATCAAATCACACATTTAATTCTAGAAAAGTTATTACTTCATGGTTTAAATCTTCGAAGACAGTAATAGAAATTGATTGATTTGATCAATATCTTTGAAGAAATTCTGATGCTCTTGCTCTTGCATCCTTGCATCTGGCTTATCATTGGTTTTTGTCCAGTCATAATATGTTCTAGTGGAGACTTCTTTCTATGGACTTTATCTAATTACACCAACTCATTTTAGACACTTGAATTTGCAAAATCAGAGCAGGCACTTCATTCTCAAATGCTTACACCTCTAGCTGCATTTGTTGCAATGTGTTAGGAGTTGATGGAGAATGGATTCTATGGACATGCTTGATAAAGCTTGGAAGACGTTCGTGTCTGCACCCAAAAGGTGTTTGATCTTTTAGTGTATAAGCTCACAAGCAGGGAAATGCCTTTTGTTGCTTCATTCCTTGCGAACTGGAAATATTAGTCATGCACATATTATATGTTTGACATTCATAAACTTACTACTTGCAGACTATAGACATGATTCACATTTAACAATTGCATTGTGTTCTTGTTTGGGGGATTGATGGAAGGGCTTGCATTAGATTAGCGAACTCCACGCAATTATGATCACTTGATTAGAAAGACATATGATTACATTGGGTAAATGCATATGGATTATAGGGTCTTTAACTTGCATGGTTTCTTTAAAGGTGCTTTTATAAAGGCATTGTTCTTCTAGGAACTGCATAGGATTGGGCGTGCGATGAATGTTACACGACGGGTATGCTCTGTCTGGGGAGTGTTTTCATAGCTCTGGCATGCAAATAGCATGTTATGAGGATGTGGCTTCTCCCTTTTGATTTGGAGGTTGCAGGTCATCCGAACCTGCAAAACAACGAATTGGGAGGTTGCCATTCCTTTTGATTCTCCTCGGTTTGAGAATTAGGGCCCTTTACCTAAGCGTTTACCCGGTAAGAGTCAACACTCTAACTTTAAGGGGTAATATCACAGTTCATCAAAACGTTATTATATGCAACAATTTATCAGGTAAGCGCTTACCGGGTAAAAGTCGTCACCCTATTTACAGGGTAAGACTCCATTCTTATCATTGCTCTTACCGGGTAAGATTCTTATGATCCAGTAAGCGGTAAGAGACAATAGGTCTTGAGTCGGTGGTAAGAGACAATAGGTCTTGTATGATGCATGTGCACCTCCTCTACCCTTCTTAAATCCTCCTCTGATGAGGAAGTAAAAGCTCATGTTATGCACTTTATGATCGTTTTTTTATTTTATATTGAATAACATCATTTATTTAAGCTTGTTGGATTTTGTTTTACTAATAAGATATTTAAGTGGGTGTTTAAAATTGCTTATTAAATTATTCTAGTGTGGTATTGGTAATAAAAAGCTATTAGTTTTTCAATGGAAATAAAATAAATACTTGTATCGGTTTGACACCGGTAATAAGGAGTTTTTGATAAGTTACTCGTTTCTAACTTAATGACTTATTCTGATATGGTACTGATAATAAGTAGATTTTAGTGTTTGGATGATATGAGAAAAAAATACTTACCAGTTTGTTATGTTTTGGTATCATTGTATAAGCTAATCCAAATACTTTTTTTATAAAGCTCCAGTTTAACATCATATAAGTTGATAAACACTTTAAAAAAAAAACATAAGTTGTTTTAAATAAGCAATCGTAAACAACCCTTAATATTCGGGTACAAAGTGTTAAGATGGTTAAGATGTTTAAGTCATGATATAATGTCAAGTGAAAGCTGAAGAGCGGGTAATTGCACAAAACAGTGAACATTATTAAAATATAAATTGTTTTAAACAAACAATTGTATCTTAATCATCTACTAAGTTTCTCGTGATAAAAAATATAAAAGAAAATTGCTTCAAAATACAATCAACTTCGTTTTAATTCCTATTTTGAAAAACCAAATTCTAAAATCATTATTTAAGGGTTTCAAACAAAATTCTCTTTTAATAAAGAGGTCGTTTGACGTGATTACCTGTTAATGATGACATGTCCCAAATGAATACCAGTTAATATTGCATGTCGACAAATACATCTGAAAAAATGAAATATCGCCCATTATATGACATGTCACATATTATTTTTATTTGATAATCAAAATTCCATGTCATATAAAAATAATAATAAATAATCAAAAAATCTATCATTTTTATTATTGCATAATTTTAATTGAATTAAAAAAAAATAATGCACTCAAAATTCATATAATATACAAGTTTTTTAAAGGTTATGTAAAATTATTTGTATTATACTTCAAAAACAAAACCTAAACAAATAAAGAATCAAAGCTAAATAAAAATAAAGCGATCCAAATAAATCAATCAAAAACCCTACAGTCTTAAATTGCAAATAGGAATGACAATGAGCCAGGTTCGGATCAGTTATTAGTATCCTCGTTCCTGAAACCAATATCTAAAACCATTTCCGTAACTATCATGATCCCCGTCGGGGATCTTATCGGGGATCTCTGTCGGGTCCCTGCGGTTTCCCCGATCCGCATTGGGGAATTCGTTAAGGGTAAAAATCCCTCTTTTCTCGTTGGTTTCCCTGTTCACCCTTGGTTATACTTGAACCCAACTGATCTGAAAAAAATTGCAATATGTTAATTTTCACAATTAAAAGTAAATTACAGTTTTCTTAAGATGTAAGTCTAAATGTCTCAAACCAATTACAAACAATGTCTTATATTACAATATAAAAGTAAACAGAAATTCAAACATCATACAATTAACATCATGCTCATAATTAGACAAATAAACTAGATTTTTTCGTGAGGCTTATTTGGGGTGTTGAGAGAATGTGAATAAAAGTCTTTCTAAATTTAATGTTGGTATTTTCTTTTAATGACATTATATACCTATATATATATAGCTATATATATATATAAATTAAAATTAATATAAATACACATATCAAGTCGGACACGGACCCAGTGATCACCGTCCCCCTCCAAAAAACCCAAAACCGATGGTGAAAACTGAAACTTTCGAGTCAAGTTCGGGTACATATTATCGGGGATGGGGCGGGGATCAGAGACATATTCGGGGATTTTAACGGGAATCTGTGGTTAGAAAAAGTGAAAATGGAGATAAAAATCATAGGACATATCATCTCATCTGCAAGAACTCTATTTATACAATTCTCGTATATAGTCTTATAAGCCAATTTTACCTAACAAGTTGATAATCTCTCACCTTCTCCTGAATACCTGTCATAATTGACAAAAATCTGAAGTCAAAATTTACGAGGTCATATTGTTAGATTATACAACTTTAAGGTCCATATGTTGATATTATTCAACCTACAAACACTTCCCCAAACTCTATGCATTCGACCCTCCTCTTGCTTGTATGATGGATCCCCACGGCTATTATCAACAGCCGTGAAAAATACTGCAGTGTTTCCTTGTTCTCTTTCTACTGTAGTTGCTGTAAAACTTGGTAAACAACCTCCTTTCATCGAATATACTCCTTTTCTTTAGTCAATATGTTGAGTTCTTGCAAGATGACATGTCAAAGATGGTTGTTCTAATAATATTTGAATCTTCTCATCCAACACCCCCTGCTCAACCGACGTTAAAATCCAAATCGACAAGAAAATGAATGAAATCAAGAGCGTATAGAACATGCATAGTCGATGTTAACCGTGAATGGTGGGGTGAAGCATAAATGAAGAACATTTCATTCTTTTATTCATTATTTTATTTTATACTAAGGGGTTGTTTGTTTACCTCTTAATAGTTCCATTAAGAGACAACATCTGTATCATTAAGAGGTGAATCTTGTATGGCAAAAAAAAGTCTATCTCTTAATGATTCTAAAACCCTTTGAATGATTTTGTATCCTTGATCACCCTTAACCATTAAGAGCCCTAATTTCATTGTACACAATTACCAAACAATTATATTTTATTTTGCACTATATCATGAGAGCCTCTTAATCATAGACCACTTAATCATTCTGCACCAAACCATTCAACAATTGCCAAACAACCCCTAAATCAAAATCAATTTTACGATTTTGGTCCGTGGTGTTTTTGATTGTGTAAAAAACAAAAACTTGATAAAAAGAATCATTTAACGGAACTTCTTGACGGCCGTTAAGAGAAAGAGACCTGATACGGATGTTTTGTAAAACTATGATGACAATCTTGTAATTTTAAAACTAGAGGGGCAAAAATTGTTACTTTTAATAACCCACAGGGACCAAAAGGCAAAGATCCACATGGAGGGAGAGAGTATATAAGAGCCGGAAAATCGAAAAACAGAAGTGGAGTCCTTTTCGTTGATTCTCTGGTCGTTCGACCGTAGGAGGAGGAGAAGAAAGAACAAAAGAAGAAACGAATTACGTTGAAGAAATTAGGGTTACATATTATCGGAGGATGGTAGGGGACGATGGAAACGTCGCCGGAGGTTTTTCTTTTTAGTAATCTTGGTCTCGTCACCGTTATTCGCCTCCGCAAAGTTTACCCGATGAATTTAAACTCTCATAATCATCTTTTACATTTTTTATTAATTGAAAAGATTTGAATAGGTTCAGCAGACTTTTTGCTATTTGATAATTATTGGATCTTTCTACATTGTAACAAGGAGATCGGAGGTGTTTAATTCGAGGGTTTTCTGCACTACATTTTGATTGTTTCTCAAATGGTAAGTTATTTTTTAATCTGCAATGATCAGTCCCAATTTGTGCTATGATATCTGTCCACATTGGCGTTAAAACCTTTTCCCTATTATTTTATGTTACAATGTTTCAAAGTCAGTTGCTATTCGATCACCATTGATGACTATCAAGTGTGGCATTATTGTTATAATTGTTCCCTGTATGGGTTTGTGTATGTTCTTTCGGAGAAGTTTATTTAATGTATTCTGTTTTTGGGTTTATTAATTGAAACCTTTTCATGGAAGACGATGATGAATGCTATGCTGGAACTTCTGTTTTAGTATTTTCACTTGATCATTGTTGATTTATATTATTTCTTATTGTAGCTTTTTCTTTATGTTTTGCCCAGTACCATTGTTGTCCCAAAATGCAAAAGAATGCTTATTTTGAATGGTCAAAAGACCTCTTGAATAGTGCTTTCAAGAGAGCGTAATACAGGTTCTAGATAGACATAACCTTCTACTTCTAAAAGATCATTCATATTCTACATTATCAGAAAAGTTATATCACTAGCCTTTTAAAGCACCAGAGGACATTGTGCTGTTTGACTAATTTGTGTGAAAAGGTTGAGAGGTTAGTTGCTTAGGCAGTTCACCTTCTATAATTAGTGTTATGTGGTGTTATATCCTCAATCATTACATGCTTTTCCGTTCAGGGATATTTTTCTGTCTGGATTCCCTATTATAATCGATTCTATACGCTTTTCACTTGGATGCTTTGATTGGGCAAGCAGCTCTAAAATTTCTATTAGTGATTACTAATTATCCCATTCGTTATGCAGGCTACTTCAGAAAATATCATAGTTGGATCTCAAGTCTGGGTGGAGGATCCTGAGGTAGCTTGGATAGATGGTGATGTTTTGGTAATAAATGACAAAGAAATAAAAGTAAAATGTTCATCAGGAAAAGAAGTAAGTTTTTCCTTTGTCAAGCCTCTTCTTATATCTTGTGCATCATTAAGTTTCTGCGTAAGAAGGTAAACATGTCATTCAAGCATTAAGGTGATCCATGTTTTATGGGAATTATGAATTACCCTTTGCAGGGAATTACCTTCTGACACACACACAATAGGTATATGCATATTAAATGCATGACCTTCTGACAGATTTAAGAATGCCTCTGCCTAACACAAGAATGCCTTAAAGCCTGTCAAAGTGAATAAAAGTCAGAAGGGTATTATCTAAAATAACCTGCAAGATGTGGGGACTTCATTGTGCTACTGCTATGCGTGGTTGCTGATCAGTTGGTGATTTTGTGAGTTTTAACTGTCTGCTAATATAGTTAGGGTATAAAACCTTAGAAACATGTCTATTCTTCAGCGTAGACAGAATATTAGTGGTTTGCATGTTGATTAATCATTTACTTCGTGTGGATTGGGGGTTGGATTTGATAATGGACTGTACATATTACTATGTAAGTAGTTGATGTTGGAGATCCAAAAAAGAGAGTAGGAGAGATATACTCTTTCTAGGAACCTTCAGGCTTCAAGAAGCGAACTATAACCGAATAAGCTTCACATCCGAATGCTTCTTTTCTACATGCACAATTTTTTGATGCAGGATCCAGTACCTAAGGCTGGCTCAACTCTTATTTAAAACACAAAAGCAGAATCAATGGCATGTGGGTACAAAAAAACTTGTAGAATGTCTAAGGCTCTATGCTGTTATAGCGGTGAAAATACAAAATTGCGGTCGGGACTGATATTTGAAATAACGGTTATAGCTGTGCAATAGCGGTGGTATAGCTGTCCAAAAATAGCGGTTCAGATGATATTTCTTAGAATTATATATAATTATCTATAATATGCCTAGTTGCCTACATAAACATATCATTTGCAAAATAGGAGAAGAGTTCATAAACGAGCTAATCACAAGCAATAGGTTCAGCATCTGAGTCAACATCATCTAACACGTTCACTTCTTCGTTTAGTCTAGCTTCCCACTCTTCCCCTTCTCCCCCTTCATATCCAACGTGATCATCATCATCATCATCCCTATAGCGCTCCCTTAGCAGAAGCCTAGTTCTTAAAAGCCCAAAAAAAGCCTTGACTAACTTAACAAAAGCTAGTTAATATCGAAAGCCCAAGACAGAAAATAAAGCCCAAACCCACCAAAAATTGCAATAATATCGAACGAAATTTACACTAAATATTGGTCAAAATTGCGGTAAATTGCGCTACCGCAATTTGACCACCAATATTTTGCAAAGGCCCGCAATCCGAGATATCGCCGCCAGTAGCGCCACAATTAACAGCATAGCTAAGGCTATGACCTTGAATAACTATGTCCCTTACACCAAAATGACTTCTTCCACCCATTGGAAGGGATTTTTATATGTGTTCTTCTAATTGAGGATGATTCTTGGAGCAATTAGGCGTGCTACTCCTTTGTCATTAGGAAGTTCATGGGTTGAGCCATCAAAACAATCTCTTTGCAAAATGCAACAAAGGTTATGCATACACAAACTTCCTTCTCGAAGCTTCAAACCCGAATATTGATCTTTCTCCCCCTCCCCCTCCTGAATATTGGTGCATTTGGCCTGGGTTACCCTTCTGCTTCTTGAATCCATAGTTATATTTGATCCCTTTTCCTCAACTTCCCACAGATTGTGAAAGAATGCATGTGAACTTGACTGATGGATGTTACAAATACATTCACAATGTAGTTCACATCTGGCTCTTGAATTTGCATTGCCTTTGTCATATCTCTCTTGTATCACGTAAATACCTTCTTACATAGCTAACAACTCAGAGAAATTGAAAGCATTCTATGGTGATGAGATAGAATATAGTATGGAATTCATCAAGCCGTGTTTGTTCATCCTTTCCCTGGATCTAAACGATTACATGTGGATGAAGTCTTTAAGCTTCTTATTTATCGAAGAACATCAAATGCGGTGAACAACTTGGGACATTTCTGAAAGAGGTTTGAACATGTATACTGTCATAGTCTAGTTAAAAAGTGCTAACACCAGAAACTAACGTAATCACGAGGCACGGAAGATCAATACAAAAAATGAAGATTCAGAATTAAGAAAGGATGCTAGTTTTTGGGTTTGAAGTTTGAACTTCTGTTAGAGATCAAGCACTGAATGAACTAGTATAATAAAAGATAGTTTAAATGACACAGTATGACTAAAATACTTTGAACCTTTTTCATGGTTTTCTCTGATGCACTTGTATCCTCTAGGTTGTTACTAATGTATCCCGTGTATATCCAAAAGATCCCGAGTTCCCCGAATGTGGAGTGGATGATATGACAAAGTTGGCTTATCTGCATGAGCCCGGGGTTCTACAAAATTTGAAATGTCGATTTGACATTAATGAAATTTATGTGAGTGCAAGCCACTGGTTCTCACCCCTTAGTTTGTTCACCCTTTCATCTCAATCACCTTATGATGGATCTTTTAGTTCATAACTAAAATTTAAGGCTACTGGTTTTCCAGACTTACACAGGAAATATTTTGATTGCGGTGAACCCTTTCAAACGAATACCCAATATATATAACAAAGAAGTGATGGATCGATACAAAGGAGTAGATCTTGGGGATCTGAGTCCGCATCCTTATGCTATTGCAGATTCGGCATACAGGCACTCTTTTTTCCCCTTCTTCTTGCTGCTTATCTTAATTGTTGAGTTCCAAAGAAATATTATATGCATGAGAATTAAGGACTTCTCTGAACGCAGGCAGATGGTTCATGAGAGAATAAGCCAGTCAATTCTGGTGAGCGGAGAAAGTGGAGCTGGTAAGACAGAAAGCACAAAAAATCTTATGCAGTATCTTGCCTATATGGGAGGTCGCGCTGGAGGTGACGAGCGGAGTGTGGAGCAGAAAGTCCTAGAAGTATGCTATATCTATTTGAATTGTCACATATCAATTCTGGGGCAGCAATTTTTATTATTTCTTTCAATAGTAAATCTGTTTGATTTTCTTACCTCAAACATGTATTTCATTTGGCAGTCTAATCCGGTTTTAGAAGCATTTGGTAATGCAAAGACTGTCAGGAACAACAATTCAAGGTTCATGAAAGCTTTTTACAGAGGCAGACTTCATTCATGCTAGACAAGAGTTTCAAATATTGAGGGCATTTTTTGGTTAATTGACTTTATTTAACTGAATCTTGTATTACTGCAGTCGTTTCGGTAAGTTTGTTGAGATCCAATTCAACGAACAGGGAAAGATCTCTGGAGCTGCTATAAAAACTTATTTGCTGGAAAGATCACGTGTTTGTCAAGTTTCTGATCCTGAGAGAAGTTATCATTGCTTTTACATGCTCTGTGCTGCACCACCTGAGGTAACTATTTTTCTGCTTGTACACATTTCTGCTTGTTTTGCTTTCTTTTTTAGCAGTGGATAAAAATGGAGGTGAATATTGTTGCCTCAACAGTATGTTTCTTTTTTGGCCTACAGAAAAAAATTATTTGTATACAGTTGCGCAGTGTCCTTTCTATGATAATCCTCGTCTTGCAAAATGACTGCAACAGGCTTAAACGCACTTTTTCTGATTCAAGTATGGGGTTTTGTCATTTGACCCATTAACAATTTTTTCTTTTAGTCAATCTATTCAACTATCAATTTATTTTCAAAACCCCCATTGATTGTCTATTATGGATGATTATCCTTTTTTAGGCAAAAAAACCTGAAATCTGGATGTTAACTCATCATGTGGATCCACTTTTTTTTTTTTTTTTTTTTTTTTTTTTTTTTTTTTTTTTTTTTTTTTTTTTTTTTTTTACAGCAACATTTGTTCTTTATGTTATTAAAAATGTTATCTTAATCTTATGAGTTACATGCTTTAAAAATATGATAGTTTTTCTGACAACTAATTGTAAAATGTCTGGTTTTTTATTGTGATAAATTTTTTAATCTGATGACAGAATTTGTTAGGCAAAAACTGTAATGTGACAAATTAGTGTGGGACTGACCTGACGAGTTGGTGTACACATTTCAATTTTCTTTGCCTAAAGACTAACATGTCAGCAGTACCTGGTAACCTTACCTTCCTGGAGGTCAGGGATTCAAGACTCACCAAAGGTGAGAAGTGTTTGTGAGTTTAATTTGTCGTATATGAATATAAAATACTTAGATAAAGACTGACATGTCATCAATTTATTACCCATGATAGACGGTCAACGGGATTTATTAAAAGGAACTGAGAATTGAATGGCTTAGTTGAAAGAAAATTAGTTTCATGGTCAATTAGAAAAATAACCATACATAAATGGGAGAAGTTTTAAGCCAGCTGCAACCACTTCACTTCGACCGCCAAAAGACACTATGTACACAGGACAAAGCTTGTTATTGCTGTTGCATGTTATGGCTGTTCAACGCATCATTACATAATAATTTTGAGGAAAAAAAATTCGAGTTAAGAAAAGGTAATGGAAGTTTGAATTTTCACCAACAACAAAAAGAGCGCTGAATTGTTTTTCAAGTGGTCTGGGAAAAAAAACCAATTAAAGCAATTGTATTAAATGGGGGAGTGGTACCTTATGGTGAAGTAACATATACCATGTTATTTGATGATTTCTTCAACCTTTTGCTTTTAATCAAAGTGGCTATTATAATAAAATTTCCTCAAGTCCTACCGTGATAAAAACTTGATCATAAAAATTGGAAACACTTTTTACCTTGTAACAGCATAAAAACAATCAAAGATGAATGGTTTAAGAAAGTAGAAGAAACAAGCATCAAACATCAAATGGATGCATGTGTAAACACATTTTGGGGTTTGATGCGGCAGCTGTCTTGAGAAAATCTGAATATTTTTGTGTGTGTACTTCTGGAAGAGTACTGCGCAGATATAGTTGCAATACTTGATATACAAATTTTCTAATGATATGGCCGCTGATGTCTGAATGTCACTGGTTAGACCTTAGTGTGTTTGTGTATTAGATCGGTAATCCTTATGCAAAGCAATAAAAAGTAACAGCTCTGAACTTGTGAATAGTAATCTATATGTTACTAATATGGCTCTAATGCTCGTTCAGTGTCTATATGAGCTTGGTAATCCTTTTAAGTTGTAATCATTAACATTATGCTTTCTCTCCACGCTGGTTTTAGTAACGTGGCAATTATCTTTAAACTGCATTGTGCTTTCTTGAGCTCATATCATTCTGTTGCTTTTTACGATCTTCATTGGTGAATTTTTCAGGTCTCTGAAAAGTATAAATTGGGGAACCCAGGGACGTTTCATTACCTTAATCAATCGAACTGTTATGAACTGACGGGAGTGGATGAGTCTAAGGAGTACCTTGCAACAAAACAGGCCATGGAGGTTGTTGGTATCAATTCTGATGAGCAGGTACATGTACATGTATCTGATATATATTACAATATGTCCATAAAATCTCACCTAAATTGTTTTCTTCCTACAGGAAGCTATATTCCGTGTTGTGGCTGCAATTCTCCACATAGGGAATATTGGTTTCAGTAGAGGGAGCGAACCAGATTCCTCTCAACCTAAGGATGATAAATCTCGGTTTCATCTGAAAACAGCAGCTGAGCTTTTCATGTAGTTAGTCTTCATTTAGTTTTTTTCCATTTATGTTCTTACATAACGTCAATATTTCAGCCGGTTAAATGCAACACTGTGATAGGCGTGTTCTGTTTAGGTGCGATGAGATAGCTCTCCAAGATTCTTTCTGCAAGCGTGTGATTGTAACTCGTGGCGAGAGCATCAGAAAAACCCTAGATCCAAATTCTGCAGCGCTCAATAGAGATGCTTTGGCCAAAATAGTTTATACAAGATTATTTGATTGGTAGGTTTGATCAAAATGGAGGATTGTTATTGTATGCTTATATTTTTCTTTTGGGTTTGTAGCTCAAGGTCTTTCTTGCATTACCCAGGCTTGTGAGCAAGATTAATAGCTCTATTGGTCAAGATGCAAACTCAAAATTCTTGATTGGGCTTCTGGATATTTATGGATTCGAGAGTTTCAAGACGAACAGGTGCTTAACTGGTATGCTTTTGGTTCATTGTTTAAAATAGGTTATTTCTTGGACATTACTGCACGAAAGCCCTAGTTAATAAGTAAACCTAAGTTCGATTTGTGGCCAGTTATGGTTTTTATCCTGTTTAATGTTTACATGTGAGTTGTGACAACCGCTGTTTGAGAAGCAACTTCTCTTGTCCTGAATAATTTTTTTCTTTATAGCTTACTTTAGACGAGCCCTATGTAATTTGAGCCTGAGAAACAACCACTTCCAGAGGTATTCTAATGTGACGCTATCTTGATAACACATGAGCATAAGAAAGATCATAGCTAATATGTTATTTGCTTGATAGATATATCAGCTGCTGACTTTTTTTTTTATTAGTTTAACATAATCGTTAATTGGCCCTATGCAGTTTTGAGCAATTTTGCATCAATCTGACTAATGAAAAACTCCAACAACATTTTAATCAGGTTTGTGAAATTAAGTATGCCCTATTATGTACCATTACAGCCTTTAGATCTTTGAAGCATGTATGCTAGTGTAATCTGGTTGCTGGTAAAACCGTTTTCTTTTTGCCAGCATGTTTTCAAGATGGAGCAAGAAGAGTATACCAAAGAGGAAATCGATTGGAGTTACATAGAGTTTGTGGACAATCAAGACATTCTAGATCTCATTGAAAAGGTCCATGCATGTTTAGAGACAAAAAATTATTTTGTTTGCTGTCTCACTGTAACTACCAAATCCTATTCAGAGTCTGCCAACCAACTAATAAGGCTTTGGGTTTTCTCCCCATTGGTCACCGGTTTGAGTCAACTCGGGGCCACCGGAGGTTTGCCGGGCTTTAACTTCAGGGCCCCATGAGATTAGTTGAGGTGCGCGCAAGCCGGCCCGGACACTCACGGTTACTGTATATCTATAGTTGTACCAATGGATTGACGGATCTGATTTGGTAGTCCTTAGGATGTTTTTGCATGTTGAATCAAAATTTTGTATTTTTTTTATGTTCTGTTCATCTAATCTAGTTCTTGGTTGCTTCAGAAACCTGGGGGAATCATTGCTCTTTTGGATGAAGCTTGGTATGTATGCATTTTGTACGAATAAGCATACAATTTTTATTGTTGATATATATGTATTTACTTGTTTCTTTTCGGTGAAAGATCACCGGTTCAAGCATAGTCACTTAGCAGTGCTTTTGTCCTGTAAACTTGGAGTTGGTGGTAATCGTTCTCTTCCATTAAGTCATGATGTTCGAACATACTCCACTAAATTATGAGCCACCTTTTACGATACTTGAAAAGCCAAAAAGTAGTGCTTAAAATTCCAAAACTGACCTTGTCATGTCAATTTAATGCAGCATGTTTCCAAGATCCACGCACAGCACCTTTGCTGAAAAGCTTTACCAGATGTTCAAAGACCATAAATGTTTTAACAAGCCAAAGCTATCAAAGACAGACTTCACCATTTGCCATTATGCTGGTGATGTACGCATATCTATTTTCTTATATTGATTTGTATAACTGAATGGGGTAAATATCTGAAGTTGTTAAATCCACTTATGCCTTATGCCTTATGCCTAGAAAAGCTGCAATTTGTTTGATATCATTTATTTGAAGAAGTCTGGTTTCAGGTTACATATCAAACCGACTTGTTCTTGGATAAGAACAAGGACTATGTTGTTGCGGAGCATCAGGAACTCTTGACTGCTTCAAAGTGTTCCTTTGTAGCAAGCTTATTTCCACCTCTTCCACAAGATTCATCCAAAGCTTCAAAGTTTTCATCAATAGGTTCCAAGTTCAAGGTCTGATTTTGTTTACTCTTTCAATCCACCATTATCCTTGCTTTTTGCAGTTCATCTCATTTATACATGTCTCATCTTCGCAGCAACAATTACAAGCTTTACTTGAGACACTTAGTCACACAGAGCCACATTATGTCCGTTGCGTCAAACCAAATAATCTTTTAAAGCCTGGTATATTTGAGAATCAGAATATTTTGCAACAACTTCGATGTGGGGTAAGTTTAGCACTTCTGGAGTTCTCATTGTCTTGCATAACGAGGGCTTAAATCATGTCTTTCCAGGGAGTCATGGAGGCAATCAGGATCAGCTGTGCCGGCTTTCCTACTCGTAAACCTTTTGCCGAATTTATAGAACGTTTCAAAGTCCTTTCACCGGAAGTCACAAAATTAAGGTGGTACATCAACTATAATGTAGTTCATTACTTTCTTTTAGAACTTAGAAAGGGATTTGAACCCACGATCTCCAAGGTATTACCACCTAAGGGATGGCATCAGATACCACATAGGTAGATGTTTGATTTGATGGTAATGTAGCTCATTACTTGTCTAGATATTGTTCTTTTTTTCTGTATCTTCTTTTGTTTTGCTTTACATCCTCCTAGACCGACCCCTCATGATACACACACAAAGACGTGTCAAGTTTCTTCTATATCAATTAATGTCCATCCTTCATCATATGCTGGAATCAGTCGTAATATGCTTTGATTTTCTTATCTTGCATTGAACTGTAGTGATGAGGTGCAGGCTTCAAGGATTCTATTAGAGAAGGCGAACCTTAAAGGTTATCAGGTACGTTATCCTTTCTCTTAGAATCCTGGTTTCATATGTAAAGCTCCTCCCTAGCCACAAGCAAGCTCTTGGTTTACTTGCACATAATTTTAGATAGAGGCGCTCATAAAGGTTGTTTGAATTGTTAGCTTCAGGCAACAAGTTTAGGATATTTCTTGTCTGCCTTGATTATGTTCCTTTGACAGGAGGCTCTAACCTCTTGCTATTATGGTTACGGTCTTTAAATTCTCTTCTTGTTATTAACATTCTCTTATGCAGCGTTTGATTTGATGGAATGGTTTGGAGGATTTGGATTTCGTGGAAGAATTTGGAATTGGAGGGATTTGGATTTGGAATGTTTGGTTTTTAGGATTTGGAATTGAATTGAATTCCGTTCTTTATAAATAATTTGTAAAAACAAATTACAATTAGTTATAAAAAATAATTAAATTACCTTATTATTAATTGATTATTGGAAAACAAACGTTTTTAACATATTTTAAAACATTAGTATATACAAATCCTTTGAAATCCCTTGAAATCCGAACCAACCCCATGGGATTTCAATGAAATCCTGGGATTTCAAATCCAGGAAATCCTACAAACCAAACATGGGATTGGAATGGAATTCAGTTCTAGATCTCTCCAAATTCAATCCTACAAACCAAACGGGACCTTAGGGTAAGCCAATGAGTCAACCTGCCAGACTTTTAGTGAATCTTGGTTATGTTTTTTCTGTAAAGTTTTCTCTTTGAACATCTTCATCGTTGAAGTCTAATGCAAAACATTAATTGGGAAGGGAAGTTTTCTTCTAAGTTGTAGACCCAGGTGCTAAGATTGCAATGTTTGTGTTTAAAACACTTGCAGATTGGTAAAACAAAAGTGTTTCTGAGAGCAGGTCAGATGGCAGAAATAGATGCTCGCAGAAGCGAGGTTTTAGGAAGATCTGCTGTTGTTATCCAGGCAAAATTTCTTGGATATTCTGGATTCAAGAAGTTTACCTTGTTACGAAGCTCAGTAGTACCAATACAAGCTGCATGTAGAGGTATATACAATCATCACCTGTCTATATGTAAATAAGTTCAGTGGAACTATCAACTTGAGGTTTTTGCCTGCGAGAGAAACCTTACTTATCATCTATTCTTACAGGGGAAGTTGCACGTTCTCGCTATGAGCGTCGAAGAAGAGAAGTGGCATGCATGAAGATCCAGAAACATACACGCATGCATTGTAAGAGGAAATCGTACAAACGCTTGTGTTCTTTGGCTATTGAACTTCAAAAAATAATACGTGGCATGGCTGCACGCAAAGCACTTTACTGTAGAAAGCAAGTAAGAGCAGCAGTTTTTATCCAGGTATATTCAAATTCATGTTAGATTAAGGAATAAATGACAACCATCATCCTTTGGCCCTCAGCAGCAACTGCAAAACTCTTCCCAAACTATTTCCAGTAGCCTTAGAAGAAAACACATAAAAATATAAAGTGCAAAAGATAGCCTAAATGTGCTCTGAAATGTGAACAATTGCTTTCTTATCTAAAGCCTATCAGCCTATGTTTCTTACATCCCAAATGAAATTTACTATTCTTTAAATCTTATTCAACCTGTAACAAGTGATTCTTAACTTGTCAATTTGTAAATTATATCTGCAAGGAAGTTGCTGACATGCTACTTAAATGACGAAACGACAAGTGAAATATTATAATGTCACATGCCTTTTTGGGTAACTTCCATATTTTGTGTGAAAATTTGGTCCTTACTGTTATTTTTTCCCCTCTCATGTAAGAACATCTTTTGGTCTTTCTGCTACAACACCAGAAATTGCATTTGTATATAATTTAATATTGGCAGAAGTATGTATTTTCATTCCATAGTACCCATCAAATTGATGTTCATTAGGCTGTGTCGAAGGCTGTTTATGTACTAAATTGATATTACTCCATGAACAAATTGCAGAGCCGATGCCGACAATTTTTAGCTTCCCTTCATTATTTGAGGGTGAGGCATGCGGCAATTATTGCTCAGTCAATCTTTAGAGGAGACTGGGCACGCAGAGAACTAATGAAGCTTAAAAAGGTGACTATCTCTTCACCTGTTCTCTGTTCTTTCATATCCTAGGCTTGAGCTTTAAATTGTTTTACAACACAAGTGTGGCTGATATCTTTTTCTTTTCAAGTTGTTTTCATTCAGACCATAGTCTAGTATTTGTATAAAATGTTCACATTATGGAACACTTTGTGTGAAAGGAGGTTCTATGTAAGGGAGCCGAGGGTATTCTAAAAATCTAAAGATATAGCCATTCAATACTTTGTTTTGAACTCTTTTCCAGATATCTTATTTTATCTTATTAGGTTAACCATCAACATAACATAAATGTGGAAGTTGGTTTCAACAATCTTTGCTCTGCATGCACCACTAGGTACTTGTGAATGTGAAGCTTACAAATATTTTGTGTCTTGTAGGCTGCAAAGGATACCAGTGCTCTCCAACATGCCAAAGCTCAATTGGAAAGGGAAATCAAAGAAGCAGCCATGCGTTTGCAAGAGGAGGAACGCATGAGGGTAAATGTGTTCTCAATAAGTCAATTATATTTTAATAACTATTTAGTCATGTAGTTTTTAGTTGATACTTTTTTGTGCCCATCACTTGGAGTTCCAATTCGTAACATCTTACAGAATTCCTTGCTTTGCATCTGATTCTTCACTCTGTTTAATTGCTATTTCTGTACTAGATATAGTTTTTATGAGTTGTACTTTCTTGTTGGTAATTGTGGGAAAATGTAAAAATGTAAATGCTTATGTATTTAATGTAGGAGTAATGGGAGCCAATTATAATCCCATAATAGTAGTGATTGTAGGCAATCCCATAAAATCAGGGATTCATAGGATAGTTTCCTTTTCTTTCCCTTTGCCTTGTTTATTTATATTATATGCTTCTCTGTCAAGAATGAAGAAGAAAACACAACATAATTCCTAAATTTGTTATGGTATCAGAGCTATCGAAGCTTGGGAAGCCTTTTTAGCCTTCATAAACCTTCTTTGAAAATTTCGCAGGCCTTCATTGCCTCCTTCCTTTGATTACTTTTTTGTGGCCTTCATTGCCAACAATTTCTAACCCAGCACCGAAAGAATGACAAAACCCAAATCAGAATCTGCCATAACCCATGTTTCTCAACTAGGAGATTTACAACACATCCACGCATCATACCGGTTGGATGTAAAGAACTATCTCAAATGGTCCCAACTAGTTCAAACCATCCTGAAAGGGAAGGGAAAAATCAGTCATCTCATCGGAACAGGACCCAAACGAGAAGCTCCCAAGTTTGAAGCATGGGATGAAGAAGATTCCATGTTCATGGCTAATGCCAAAGGGATCTGGGATGCAATTCAACAAACGTACTCTGAAGCAAAAGATGCAGCTCGGGTTTATGAAGTGAAAGTCAAGACTATGGCAGCAAAACAAGGAAGCAAAACAGTAACCGAGTATGCCAATCAATTAAAGTCATTGTGGCAAGAACTCGAATCTTTATAAGGTAATCAAGACCAATTGCTTTGAAGATGCGGCGATACTCAAGGACTTCATTGGACAAAACAAAGTTTATGATTTTCTTGTAGGTTTAAACTCTGACTTTGATCAAGTAAGGATTCAGATTCTTGGAAAATCTGAAGTACCTTACTTTAATGAAGTGGTGGCTATTGTTAGAAGTGAGGAGAGCAGGAGAACCTTAATGCTTGAGACCCCTCCAATGAATGGCTCGACAATGGTGGCCGAAAATGTCAAGATAAGGAGGGAAAATAGAACCAACTATGAATCTGGATCCGGGAAAGGTGATCAACTCAGGACTCGAAATCGAGATGGGTTATGGTGCACTTATTGCAAAAAGGCATGTTACACCAAGGAGAAATGTTGGAAGTTACATGGCAAACCTCCAAGCCAAGAGTGGGAGTAGAAAAGTGCAACGGCTAGAGAAAAACGATATGCCCATGTGGCAATCAACCCAACCCCAGAAGAAGTCAAACAAGAGCCAACAAACCTTAATCAAGAGGAAGTGGAAAAGCTCAGGTCATTTTTCAGCACTCTGAAAAACCTTCTGGTGGTGGATACTCATACCCAGGTAAGTTCTTTTTAACCAATTCAGGTGAGCATCTTTTTTCATTTGGATTTAATGTCTTAGGTTTAACCCTAAAATACTCCCGGATCATTAATTCGGGAGCAACTGACCATATGACTCACTCTTCCAAACACTTCTCCACATACTCACCTTGTTCAAGTAACAAGAAAATTGCCACTGCTGATGGAACTCAAACCACCGTAGCCGGTATAGGAGATATCCAACTTAGCTCATCTATTCTTTTAAAAAATGTTCTTTACGTCCCAAAATTGTCCACTAATCTGCTTTCCGTAAAAAAACTAGCACGAGATTTACCTTGTCAAGTGGTATTTTGTGACGAATATTGTTTGCTTCAGGAAAAGGATTCGGGGAAGACGATTGGACTTGCTAAGGAAAAGGATGATCTATATTGTCTTGAGATGCCAAAAAGTTCCAGATTATCTCACTCTCTCGTATCATAATATGTCCTTTCCATTAAAGAAAAACTCATACTTCATCATTGTCGTTTAAGTCATCCCTCATTTAGGATTATTAAAGTTAATTTTCCTTATTTGTTTAAAACAATCGATGTTGAAAGCCTTCATTGTGAGGTATGCGAGCTTGCTAAAAACAAGCGTATCCCTTCTCCTATCAGTGATAAAAGAAGCAACTCTCATTTTTATCTTATTTACACTGATATTTGGGGTCCATCTAATATTTCTAATCTGTCGGGTGCAAGATGGTTCGTGACCTTCATTGATGATTGTACACGGGTTACTTGGGTTTTCTTATTAAAACATAATTTTGATGTTAGCACTATTCTCTCTAATTTCATTTCGATGGTAAAGAATCAATTTGGAGTAGAAGTTCAAAAAATAAGATCCGATAATGCTCGAGACTTTTTCAATCAAACTCTCACCTCCTATTTGTCTAAAAGAGGGAATAATTCAAGAATCTTCATGTGTTAAAACACCTCATAGAACGGAGTGGCAGAGAGGAAAAATGGGCAACCAGAGCATTATTATTTCAAAATAACGTTCTAAAACATTTTTGGGGAGAAGCAGTGCTCACAACAACTTATCTTATAAATAGACTCCCTACCCGAGTTCAAGGATTCAAAAGGCCTATGGATGTACTTTCTTCTTTTTACCCAAATGTGTTCACTTCCAACAATCCTGTACCCCGTATTTTTGGATGTATTTCATTTGTTCACGTTCATAGCCAAGACAAAAACAAACTTGATCCTCGGGTACTAAAGTGTGTTTTTTGGGATATTCCTTAACCCATGAAGGGTACAAATGTTACCACCCCCCATCCAGAAAGTTTTTTGTGCCAAGGGATGTAACCTTTAGCGAAAACAATCCCTACTTCACCCAACCTTATCTTCAGGGGGAGGATTGAAAGGAAGATAAGGGTAGCCTGGAAGATCTTTTACTTGACTTATCTATATTAGCTTTCACTTCTATCCCTGAGCACTCCCCAAATACTCATGTTATCCATGATCCCGAAATAGTTTCACCAGCTCGTGAGCCTATTCCATCCCAATCTCACTCCACTCCTATCCCTGAGCCCTGAACACTTCCCAAGTACTCATGTTACTCATAACTCTGAAACAATTCCACCAGATCGTGAGCCTATTCCAGAATCCGAATCCACTCTTAGGAAGAACATGGTATACTCGAGACAAAAGAAGAACATTCTTGGCCCTTCAAACAAGGTAACAATTTCTGACTCTATACCCGTGCAAAGCATAGCTAAATCTCAAACAAGTGACCATTCTCTCTGCTTATTGCCGTTGGAAAGGGAACAAGAGAATGCACAAAAAGACTATTGTATCCCTTATCACACTACACCTCTTTCCAAAAATTCTCTCCTACCTACGAAGCATTTCTTGTCAACCTCAACTCCATTTCCATTCTTACAAATTTATCTGAGGCATTATCTAATGAAAATTGGAAGCAAGCCATGAATGTGGAAATAAAAGCACTTGAAAAGAATAAAACTTGGGAGTTGGTTAAATTGCCGGAAGGAAAAAGGCCAGTAAGATGCAAATGGGTTTTATACAGTGAAATATAGCGCGAATGGGTCAATTGAGAGGCATAAAGCAAGACTGGTAGCCAACGGATATACGCAGACTTTTGGCATTGATTACTTTGAGACATTCGCACCTGTTGCAAAAATGAATAGAGTTAGGGTAATTCTATCCCTAGCTGCTAATCTTGATTGAAATTTGCATCAATTTGATGTATTAAATGCATTCTTGCATGCAGAACTTGAGGAGGAGATCTATATGGATGTTCCACCTGGTTATGGCAAAGGAACAAAACCCAATATGGTGTGTAAGTTAAAAAGGCACTATATCGCTTAAAACAATCTCCTCGAGCATTGGTTTGGGAGATTTACCAAGGCTATGTTAACTTTGGGATATAAACAAAGTCAAGGGGATCACACTCTGTTCATCAAGCACTCAAAAACAAGAAAAATAACAGTGCTACTGGCTTATGTGGATGATATCATTGTAACAGAAGATGATAAATAAGAGCAACAAGCCCTGAGCCAATGTCTAGCCAAAGAATTTGAGTTCAAGACATTAGGAAGACTGGAGTATTTTCTTGGAAGTGAAGTTGCTCATTCAAGAAAGGGAATTTTATATCCCAACAGAAGTATGTTATAGATTTGCTCATGGAAACAGGTCAAGGTGCATGCAAACCTGCTATAGACCCGAATCATAGACTGGGAAATGCAGAAGAAGATGCAATTGTGAACAAAGAAATGTATCAATGGCTTGTGGGGAAACTTATAGATCTTTCTCATACCAGACCTGACATAGCTTATGCTGTAAGCATGGTCAGGTAGTTCATGTATAACCCAAAGAAAACCCATTTATGAGCCGCACAACGGATTTTACAGTATCTCAAAGGAGTATTGGGGAAGGGAATCCTGTTTGAAAGAAATAACCCTGTAACTCTTGAAGCATACACCGATGCAAGCTATGCTACGTCATCAGTTGACAGTAGATCAATTACAGGGTATTGCACTTTTCTCGGAGGAAATCTTGTGACATGGAGACGCAAGAAGCAAAGCATGGTAACACGATCTAGTGTTGAATCCGAATTTCAGGCGATGGCACATGGTATATGCTAACTATTGTGGCTAAAAATCATCCTAAAAGATCTAAGGATCAATTGGGAGGGACTAATGAAGCTCTATTGTTACAATAAGTCAACAATAAACATAGTTCACAATCCAGTTCAACATGATCGAACAAAGCATGTTGAAGTTGACATATATTTTGTCAAGGAGAAGCTAGACAGTGGCTTATTCTGTACTCCATTTGTGCCTATTCATAAACAAGTAGCAGATGTTTTCACCAAAGGACTAAGTAGACCGATGTTCGAGAGAATTTTATCCAAGCTAGGAATGGGAAACTCCCACTCACCAGCTTGAGGGGGAGTGTGGGAAAATGTAAAA